TGACATGTAAACACACTGCAGGATGGCTAGATGACAGTTAAAGGATGAGGTGGGGGGAGAATAGGATGAAACAAGCTCTGTCTTTCCCACACGCCCCAACACCACTCGCCGCTCTCCTCTGCTCCGACTAATTATAGTTAATTTGATTCCGCTCTCCCATTAACACATGTACATATTCTGGCCTCAAAAAGTAAATTAGATTGGGATTGTTTGGTCCCGGTGAGAATGTGTTTTTTTTTTTTCGAGCCGGCGGAGATTGGCCCAATAGAAGCGAGTGAAAAGAGGTCAGAGGAGGATGTTTGGGAAAATTAGAAGTGTGATGTGTCTGGGAAGCAGACAGCTACTTGAGTACCCCTGACACATGCATACATATGCATACTGAGCTTGACTTTGCGCTGCTTGTCATTCTGCTGCAGGACATTGCTGTAGAAATGCAGTGTTGACTGAAGCTTATTTTAGAGTGTTCGAATGGGGCTTTAAAACCATATTGTGACATTTTGATGCTACAAATTCTGTGGCTGTGTTTGAAAAATAGGATGACTCGCACACTGATTTGTTTTATTGGACTGTAGTTGAATTTTCTCCCATATCCACATAAGTTTTATAGCAGTGATGATGCATACGCTGAGTGAAAGTTACTGGTGGTGTGTGTTAAGCAGGAGCTACTTAGCTAACGCTGTAGGAGCTGCTTAGCTAGATACCACTGTGGAGATTTTCACAGTCCGCATTCTGAATGTATTCAGTGTAAAAAGGGGAAAAGGTGAATTTTTCAACAAAAGAATGAGCTATACCATCGCTTCATTGCTTCAGGCCTTCGTTTTTCTTTTCCCTCCCCCACCTGCCTTGATGCTGGCTCTTGTCCGTGAAGTTGTGCTTTCTGCAAATTGCTAACATCACGAAGCATTATTAAGCGAATGATGGAAAAAACACATTAAATCACATTTGACAAGTTTGAGAAATCTTTATAGGAAATTTTAATTAGATTTGAAACCACATACAAATGTGGCTTAGGATTTATTTGGGGGGAAAAAATCAGTTTGTGTGTTTTTTGTGCTCAAACCCTAACCCTTTTGTATTCAGATAATGACTATGCCAAGAAGTCCAATTTGCTTCTCTAAACAAAGTTGTAGTGTTTTGTCTGTTATACCAGACGTGTGTATTTGTATGACCACCCCATCCCCCACTCCCCCTGAAATGTACTGTCAGTACTACATGTGGGTTTGATCATGACCTCCACGCTTTGTTCAGTACTTTTTCACTCTGTGCTCCTTAGCTATGCAGGCAGGCAGCACGCTTTCACCTTGCTCGTGCCGATAGATGCTTTCATCTAGGCCAAGCAGGTCAACTGTTCCAGTGCCCCAAACACAGCTCTCTCAATTGCAGCATCCTCCCCATGAAATAATCATTCCTGCTGGAGGACACAGGCTCAGCTACAGGTTCAGCCTTACTCTAACCCTATGGCTCTGGCAGGCTGTGACTGAGGTTGCCCTTGCCCTTATTTTGCCCAAGACACACATTCAGACACACACACAGCACAGCACAACCAGCTGTCTGCTTTTTAAGACTTAGTTTTGAATTTTGTACAATGAAAAACTCCTTTCTGATTGAAATGGAGCACGACACGCCAACCGCATCAGCTCGGATCCAAACAGTGGTGGAGTTAGCCAGGAGGAGGAGAGGCCAGTGAAAGAGCCTTCACGCGGCTGCTATGGGCCTCGCATCTTAATGGAGATGCAGTGGCTGTGAATGCAGGGCTTGAATGAGAGACGGCTGGCATGGCTCAGGGTCCTGTGGGTTCAGGGCCAGCTTTCGAACAGACTGTGGGGGTCCTCATGAAAGCAGGGCAGCAAGTGCTGTTTGATTAAGGGAAAAGCCAGAACTCGCGTCACCAGTGACAAATTATTGTTAAACTATTGAGATTTGATAGGTTCATTTTTGAAAGGTTTTTATCTACTGATGTAAAAGTGAACTGAAATTCATTATACACTACAATTATAAGGGCTTCTTTTTCTTCCTGCAGTTACAGAACTGTGTAGGTCGTGATCAACAAATCTTTGTTATAAACTTATAGAAGTGAAAGGACATTACATTTTACATTTACTGTATCTCACTTATATACCTAAGCAGTTCAGGGGTAAGGGCCTTGCTCAAGGGCCCAACAGGGGCAGTTTGGTGGTGCTGGGATTGGAACGCGCGGCCATCCGATCAGCAGTCTAATCCCTTAACCACTGAGCTACCACTGCCCATCAAATTGGCTCTTTGTTTAAAAATATATTTGAAAGATACATCTCCACTAATACCTGCCTTAATATTTTTGTCCATTACTGACAGGAAAAAGGGCAGACCAGACATAATATACAGACCACTGATTAATTTGTGTAAATTTCATATAATCTCCAGGGTTAATAACTTTTTCGATGAGAATGGCACAGAAAAGAAATGACTGAGCACCTGTAATTACAAACAGCACTTTTATTGTGACATAGTTTCCTTTCGAATATAGAAGTCACATTATTCACTAGAATTAGCTTGTCCTGCTGCCATGTTTTTTTTTTGTTTTTTTTTTTGTTTGTTTTTTTTTTCCAGCGGAGTGAATTCTGCTACATTTATGCAGAATTACAGTATTTAGTCTGTAAAAGCATTTCCACTGAACTTTTGCATATTTCATGCATCAGCAAAATCAAATGTCAAAATTATTCACTAAAATCAAAAGATTTGTTAATATTTGTGAAATATTATAAATGCTCACATTTACATTTATTTATTTGGTTGATGCTTTTATCTAAAGCAGCATACAAGTGAGACAGGATACAATTACTTTTTCAGTTGCCTGCATTGGCAAATATTTCACTAGAATAAAACTTTTTTCACATCCTTTGGATGGAAACCTAGTGGAACAAAACCTAGACCCGTAATTCTAACTGAGTTTAATATTGATCCAGAAGCATGTACTGTGGCCAAAAGGTGAGAAACATTCAGCAGTTAAGTGAAATCTTGCTCATGTTGCTCATGAGGCTTTTTATCAATTGAGAGGAGAGGCTCAGGGTAACTGACTGTTAATGGCCTTGGTCAAGGGTCCAACTGTGGCTCTCTGCCATCCTGGTATTTGAACTCACAAGTAAAGAGTACCTTAGCAACTGCCCATGTGGTACCAGTTTTAGATTTGTGCACGTGTGGGAGCATGTTTTTACATCTTGCAGACTTTATTTTTTTTAAAAAGAAAAAAGAAAAAAAAAATCAAAAGGTTTGCTTCTGGTTACTGAGGTTAAGGTTAGGGTTAGATTTAAAGAAGGCTTAGTTTTTGGGTTAGCATTAATTAGCTGCATTAATAATTATACTAATGTGTGCGTGTGTGTTTTTCTATGATATGCGCCAAAAAGCCCTGATTGTGCTCTAACACCAGTTCTTTATTTGTACGTGTCTAGGTTGTTGTCATGGTCAATGTGGGTTAGATCACACGTGCGCGCATACACACACACACACACACACACACACACACACACACATACACACACATGATGTTCATAATATGACACACTGATGCTAGCAGTTCATGTTCTGATGTTCTGTGCCAGATTACTGCTCTGCCTTTTACCTTGTTACAATCTGCAAGCAGTACATCCAGATTGTGGAGATATGATGTCTGACTGTCTCATTCTCACAGTCATGTACACTCTCTGCATGCACACACACACAGACACACACACACACACACTTGTTCTTTCCTCCCCTCCTCCCCATGCCGACTCTTCTCTATTTCTAGTCTTTGCCTGCCCTCTAAAGGCCAAGAGGCTGCTTACTGATTGTGTGTGTGTGTGTGTGTGTGTGTGTGTGTGTGTGTGTGTGTGTCTGTGTGTCTGTGTGTGTGTGTGGTGTGTATATTTGCATGCACGTTCCTCAAGTGGCAAAAGCACAAACATTGGACATGAATTCTTCTGCTCCTGTTCCACGCTGTATGTGTGTATGAAAAAGCACACGGCATACGGAGCCTAATTACAGACATTCACATCTAATCCTCCAGGTGTTTTATTTATCTGCCAAGCACAGTTTTTGCCACAGTAAGCCAATACCTGGGCTCACTTCAATCACTCTCCATGATGCATGAGCCAATATCTTACTAAATCCAGGCCAATCATGTGTATATGTGTGCATGTGTGCACTGACAGATGTGGATTTCATGGGCCATTGTGAAGAATAGGCAACGGCTCATACCATTGTCCTGGGGGAGGGAGGCCTGCACGTAGCTTGCATTTATCAGCAACTGCTTTGTGTGTGTATGTGTGCGCTTGTTTGGGAAGGTGCACGCGCCTCAGCTTTTGTCACATTCAGGGTTTCGGCCTGTCAGATGCTTTGACATGGCGGCAGTAGGGAGCAGCTCTCTCTCTGAGCCAATGGGTTTGATACAGGACACCATGGGAAAGTAAACAGAAGCGAGTGTTGTGTCATCCTGATTTTAAACGAGACACTTGTCTGGCAGTGAATATGAAAAGCTCTTATGCCTTTTCTTTCTCATATTCAAGCATGCTTGCATTTCCAAGGATGTAGATTTTAATTACTTTCCTAAATGCTCAATGTCAGTTCATTTTTATCTCCCACTTTAAATAAGGCTTCAGCGCAGTGCTCATACACTACAACTACTTGTGCATTAGGGTCCGTCTGAGTGTTTTGTAAGAATACGTATCCATTTTCATCATTGAGCAATGAGTCCTTCATTGCTATTTGGCTGGAAACTGTGCTAATAAGGAAAAGATTGCTCATTGAGGAGATGGTATTATTTCCTTTTTTTGTTGTTGTTGTTCAAAACTTTGAAATTTGGAAAATTTTGTTTGGAAAATTTATCTTGTTGTTCTTTCGGCTTCTCCTGTTAGGGGACGCCACTGTGAATCATTGGTCCACATTTGATTTGGCACAGTTCTTATGCAGGATACGCAACCCTCCCCAATTTTATCCGGGTTTGGGACCGACACTGGGAGTGCACTGTCATGTGCAACCCCAGGGGCCGAGGGGCCGGGAATTGAACCTGGGCCACAGTGGTGAGAGCATCGAGGCATAATCACTAGTCCACCCGAGACCCTTGGAAAATTTATTATAATAAAATTTATTATAATTCTTTTATTCATGGAGAAATCATTCAAAATGATTTGATGGAAAAAGCCACAATTCTAGAGAGACTCGCTGACTGGGAGCGAATTGTCAGATCCAGAGTTCTGAAGTAGCGGTGTATCTGGGACTGTTTTTTAAAATGCCACTTCCACCTGCTCCTGAAAGAATTTTGACCAATCCTGATAAACACGTTGATCATTTAAACCAGCATGACCTGACCAGGGTAAAGTATGGAGTGCTGTAAATGCACCGCTCGAGCCTCGTTCAGCATGCTTTCATGTTAATGAAAGTATTATTTTTTTGTACTGCAAGCTTTATATCTGACTTCTTGGTCCCGTGCCTGCTTCCACGAGTATTTTGGGTCTCATAAGATCCCATTCCCGATGCACAACTACTCTGAAGTGTACAAAGTCTGTAATTTTATCTTTTTTTTAAACTAGTATGCTTACTGTCCCTTCAGAGAGTTTGTTACTTAGCCTATAGCCAGAGCCAGTCAAAACTAATGCAGTAGCTTGTGTACTATGAAAACTATTTCTAGTTTATAACATGAGGAAAAAAAAAAAAAAGAAGAAGAATCAGAATGGAGCAGCTGGTTCATCATTTTCAGTAGCTAATTTACAGAAGCTCCTCTTCTATTAGCCTTAACTTGCAAGTGTTACTTTACTGTTATGTTGCTACAAAAAGCTGTCTATCTTGGCTAAGATGTGCAAGGTCTTGAAAGAAACAATAATATAAAAAAAAAAGAACATTTTTACAGATATGCCACCATTTTTCTCCTTATTAAAATCTCAGCAAACTTGGCAGCAGGTAGTTTGAATACCTTTGCTTGTAAGTGTGACCCTGATTTGTGTCACAAACTCTGAAAAGAAATCAGTTTAGAAAGCCAGTGCTTTTCTTCAGCATGAATATGTTTACTTCTTAACGTGTGAAAATGTTCAGGAATTTTCCAAAATAAAGAATTACACTTTAAACCCTTTAAAGGAGGCCTCTGCTGCTTATTAGATGAATTACAGTAGCAAGCCAAACACTGCATATGGCTGTGTAGCCACGATTTGCATCTTTGCATGCTTTGCATCTGGGGCTATGAACTAACCTTCCAAAGAAGCAATAAACGTGCTCTCTACAAAACAGAAAACTGTGTTCTCTTCTTCAGTCAACCTGAACCGACTTCATAACTAGTTACTTTGCATTAAAGTAATTCAGATGTCTTGCAAATTGACTTCAAACCCATTGGTCCTGTAAAACTCTGCAGAGTGTAAATATTGCAGTGTGTAAATATTACAGTAGGCATTCCTGCATTTATATTACTATGCCTGAATAATAGCTTAGTAATATAAAGATTTGTCCTGATATTCTCATGACCAAATATACTACACAACTGTACACCATCGCAAGAAGCAGCAGTGCAGCCACCGCCTCATGGTGCCTCAGTCTCACTCTGATGAGAGTCTACCATTCAAAAAAAACATCTTACCGTTCTAACTAAAAGTGGCTAAAGCCTTACACTATTTTACTGAATGCATTTCAAGCATGGTTACACTGATTTAAAAAAAATTGGGAATGGTGAATATGGGGGAAACAACTTCCAACATCGATCTAAGAGGCAACTCATTCATGAACCAGGTATCAGAAATCTATAG